TGCTCAGACGGTGGTGCAAAAACCAGGGTCACTCGGGGGAAGCTGCTGCAGCTGGAATTGGTTTAATTCCGCCTCAGCAAACAGCTTGCCGTTCTCTTCTTGGCCAGTAATTGCAGGCTGCGGTGATGCAATAAAATAGGTTGTAGTTTTGCAGAGAGAGAGTGACCTCTCTGTAGCTGACTGGCCATCAACGTGGAATCCTCAGATGGCCTCCAGTGCGGATCTTTGTCACTTCACAGGTTTGATGGATGATCTCCCAATAGGGACTTAAATGGGAGAACAAGCGTCTAACAGCTTTAATAAAAACAGAGGGGGGGGAAAAAGAAAACAAAAAGGAAGTAATCTTTTGGAATTATTAGCCTGAGTGCGAAAGAGCGTTTCCTCAGCATGACAGCTGGAGGCTTGCTGCGCTGTTATTAAAGCACTTCAGTAGGAATCCATGCAGATGGCTTTTTTACCCAGCATAGGATTATATTGGATTAGTCATATAAAATTGTTGTTTACTGTCTCTAGCCCTTTTCCCTGGAGGTTTTATCTGGAATCTCACAAAGCATATAGTTTGAGCCTGCCTTTAAGAGGTAACCCAGATGAGAAGCTTTTTGCTTGTGTAAACTGCTATGATGTTATAGTTTAGTGCAATCGTAATGTTGCAGTGAGAGATTTTATATCTGATGAAAGAGGGTGCTTAGTCCAGATTTTTGTTTTGCCTACAAGAAGGGAAGGTAGATAGTAAGTAGATGCTTTCTCTTCTTTACCCCCTAGAAGAGCTGTGCTGATCCCACTTCTGCTCCATCAATCAGAAATTCCTAACACTGGCACAGTTTTTCCTAATGCTCGCTAACAAGTCATGTATGACATAATGCTTGATTAATGCACTGTTCTAAATGGTGTGTATTAGATGTTTTACGTGTTCCCTTTCTGCCATGCAGAGTCATTCTAACCGTCTTTCTCCTCTATGTCCAGGAGGCCCAGAGATAACTGCTTAGACACTGTCCACGTTTTCCCTCCTGCCACAAACTAACCAACAATCTCAAACATGCAGTGCAGGACTCTACCTTCAGATGTATCCCGGGGGCTGGCTAACATGGAAATCGAGATTTTTTTTTGTTTGTTTCAAGGCCTGACAGACAGCTCTACTGGTAAAATGGCATCCTTCAGTGTTTTCTGGAGTTTTCAGACTGGCTCTGTCATGATGGGAAATTTTCCCTTCCAGGAGGTATGGCTGAGAGAGCTTTCCTGATGTGCAAATGCCTTTGATTCTACACAGAGAGATGTTTTTCTTCTCTGTAGGGAGTTCTGTGGACAAGGTAATGCAGTCCTAAGCTGTTACTTTTTTTCCTAGACCATGTCCATGTGTGTAGAATAATAAGGTATTTTTCCCTGGCCTTGAAGGGACAAGCAGCAGACTGTCTCTGCCACATGCATGCCAGTATTGTTTTTTGAACATTATCCACTGAAAACATTGAACATTATCCACTTAAAACAACCTACTGTTATAATCTGAAGTTTCTATCACTGAGGGGGATACAGAACTTCTGTCAGTGTACTGTTACAGGGATCCTCATTAGCCTGATTTGGTTTAGTAAATATTACCTCTGTTTGGTTTTGTCAGCTTTAAGTTAACATTGATTTCCTCACATATTAAGAGAAAATTTTTTTTTCCAATTCTGCAAACAGTCATCTTAAATCCAGTCATGTCTTGGTGCTTTTCCTCATGATATGCAAGAAATGTTCGTGTTCTGAACTGAATTCTGAACTTGTATATTTAGCTGCCCTCTGTGGTTGTGCCAAGGCCCCGGGAAAGCCAGACTGCTTCTCCCTGTTTCAGGAAGGCTCCTGAACACAAATGGGATTATTAGTCTGTGACCAAAGATCAAAACAAGATGGGAAAAGGGCCTTTTTCCCATGTTGGCCATTTTGCTCAAGGTTGTTCTGTGATTTTTGAGCTGGCATTTCCTTTTAGATTGGCAGCACTGATTGTGCCAAAGAACATATTGGGCAAAAAAACCACATAAGCCTTGCCATCTTCCAGCCTGACAGGGACTTGGGAGTCGTTGCTGACACAGCTGTTTCGGATGGAATAGAAGAGATTAATTTGGGGCAGGTGAAATTTGTGTAAGTTTTTACAGAGGCTGTAGATTTTCACAGGAGAATTTTAACTCCTGGAATATCTGATTAGGATGGCAGGTCTCTCTGAGGGTTGAAAGGACACACTGACTTTTAATCCGTGGGCAAAAAAAGGCTACACTTGGAGTTATAGTAGGGTTGCATTAGGTAATCCCATGCTTATACATTTTCTGACAAATCACTGATTTTGGTGCACGCCTTACACAACATCTTCCCTTCGTCACTGGAAAAAGTATTACTGAAGTAGTCATTTACAAAGTTTTGCAAAATACCAGAATCACTATTATATCGAGAGTGCATTTTCTTCTAAATTAGTAACATAGAATCATTGAAATGTTAGCCAAAAAGGGACTTGAAAATGGTCTGTGTACTTCCTGTATGCCACTATGCTGTGCATATTAGGTATACCTGTATTCAAAGTAATGCCTGACCATTTTCTGATGTGTTTATTAAAATATCTAGTGAGGGAGAACTATGTGTATTTTTTTCTTTGATAGCAAATTGAACTAATCTCTGTTGAAAAGTAACTTTATTTCTGCTCATTATCCTCTGCAGTACACAGGAAACAATTACTACTGTCCTTTACAGTAACCAAAGATAAACTCAGTTAAAATGATTCTTATTTCAACCCCTCTGTATATAGTATGCTGTATTTTCTTCTGTATGTAACTTTTATTCCGGTTTTATAGACTCCTCACCTGAGATCTTGTTTGTTCTGGATAAACCAGAATACAACTGAGTAACTGCATCTCAGGGTATTGCTACTCCATCTGAAAATGGGACTTCCCTTTCTCTGCAGCACCATTACAATTGCTGGCTGGTCCTATCCCACCCAGTTTTATTTTTTCTTACTGCTACTGTGGCTAGTAGCTGTACCCAGCTGTATCAAGAAGTGACCTCCTGGTTTCCATAGTATGAACTGCAAGTTGCTAATTCATTCAATGTTAGTTGCTGATTGAAGTAGCAACCTTGATGCCAGGCTATTTGGGGACAAGGTGACTTGTCACGGGCCCAAAGAATTAGCAGTGTTGGGTGGCTACTTCTGCAACTGTGGAACCAACTCAGAAATCTTCACAAATAGGATTCCTGGCAGCAGTTAACACCACGGGCATGTCCTTCCCTCACAGGCATGTCCTTCCCTCACATGCACTTTCGGGTTGCTGAAAGCCTCAGAGCTTGGATCTTGTGTCCATTTAGCTCAGCACAGTGAAGGCTGAGCTGAATTTAGACAAGGCTTTTACCTTTCACTGTGACCCCTGTGTGCAGGTCAAGAAGTTGGACAGATGAGCGACTGGGTTGAGAGTAGAGGAGGAGATGCTGGGGTTGTGCCCTGGAGCCAAAGCTGTGTGCCACCTCCCTTAATCTGATTACAGTTTCCACTCACAGCCTAATGTGACCTGTCTTGTGCCATGTTTTCGGTAAACCATAGATTCACAAGTAGGCAGTGTTGAGCTGCTGTCATCTCCCCACTCTCTTCCCTGGCATGACAGGCTGAGAAAGTTGGGGCTGTTCAGCCAGGAGAAGAGAAGGTTGCATGGAGACCTCACATCAACCTTCCAGTACCTGAAGGGGTAGGAAGCCAGAGAGGGACTCTTTGTTAGGAGCTGTAGTGATAGGGCAAGGAGTAATGGGTACAAACTGAAAGAGGGGAAATTTATGTTATATATACGGAAGAAATTCTTGACTGTGAGAGTGATGAGGCACTGGAACAGGTTGCCCAGAGAAGCTGTGGATGCCCCAACCCTGGTAGTGTTCAAGGCGAGGCTGGAAAAGGCCTTCAGCAATCTGGTCTAGTGGGAGGTGTCCCTGCCCATGGCAGGGGGGTTGGGACTAGATGATCTTTATGAATCTATGAGTCTTTGCAAGATTTGCCAGGCTCTGCAGTCAGGTGGGCTACATGGTCAAGATGAAGGGGTGGGTGGCATCTGGCAACATTTTACACCAAAAAAGAAAAAAAGATGGGAACATGTGATGTGCTTTAAGAAACAAGAGAGGCAACATTTTGTACAAAGACAGGAGATGCAGAGAACAAATGAAGACTTAGATTTGAGACCCAGCAAATGAGAGAGGAATAGGAAGGGTTTTAAACTGCCAATAGCAAAAGCTAGGGAGACTAGCAGGCAGTAGTCACTGCCTTGGGTCAATCTTGCTGGAATGGGTAAACTTCTCATGGCTGGTGAGTGCCTGCTGTTGATATGGTGTCTGTGAGGTACAGTCTGTCATGATGGTGGAATGCTTTCATTCTGCCTGTATGCCCTTTAACCTGTCTGCCAAAAATAACAGCAAAATACAAAGAACAAATCGTAGGATGGGTCAGGTTGGAAGGGACCACAGTGGGTCATCTGGTCCAACCTCCCTGCTCAAACATGGTCATCCCAGAGCACATGGCACAGGATTGTGTCCAGACAGTTCTTAAATATCTCCAGTGAGGGACCCTCCACAACCTCTCTGGGTAATCTGTTCCAGTGTGAGGTCACTTGCACAGTAAGGAAGTTTTTCCTCAATTTCAGGTGGAACTTCCACCAGTTTCTGCCTGTTGCCTCTTGTCCTATTGCTTGGCACCACTGAGAGGAGCCTGGCTCCATCCTCTTGGCATGCCCCCCCTTTAGATATTTATACACAAAGGCAAAGCCCAGCAAACAGTAGCAATAGCAAGTACCACAAACACCAAGGATACAGCCCCCACCTCGTTGGGTAGCAGCATTACCAGGCATGCCCTTTTCTCCTGCCTCGGTGGATGTTACTGGAACAGCCTGTACCTGTTGTGCTGGGGGCAGGAGATGCAGAACCTGCTTTTACAGAGATACATCACTTGGTGTGTGTTGGTGTACAAATATATCCGTGCAGGTCCGTGGTCGGCAGCGTTCTCAATCCCACCCACCCGGTACCTGTTAGTCACAGAAAGTCTCAGGATCATTGAATCTGCTGAGTTGGAAGGGACCCTCAGGATCACCGAACCCACCTCCTGGCCCTGCGCAGGACACCCCAGGAATCCCACCAAGTGAAACTTAGTGACAGTTTAAAAGTGACAATCTAAAAGCGACAAGCAGAGACTGCGGTGTTTTTAGGGCGGCTCCAGAGGCAGAGGGTCGCTGCCATTCGCCGGGAAAGAGGGATGGCGCCAGGTGTCCCCGGAACCCCGGCGGTCGCTCGGCTATGACGTGCCCTGCTCCCAGCATATCCGGCCCGGCCAGCCCGGCGGGTCCCGCCCGGTGTCTCGCCCTTCCCGGCGCTTCCCATGGCCCTGCCCGCCGTCCACAGATGCCTCCAAGTGAGTGCGGCCCTCGGCAGTGCCGCCCCGGCTCCCCGGAGGCCCGTCCCGTCCCGGGCATGGCGCCGGGAGCGCTCGGGAGCGGCCGGGTTTGCCCTGGGGGCAGAGCTCAGGCTTAGGGCAGAACGCGGGGTCTCGGTGCCTTCTGCTCTTCCTTCTGCTGACACACAGCATCTCTTTTACTTAATTCCCTCTGGGTTAAGGCAATAGAGTTGTAGTTTACATCTATATCTATGCACGCGCACACACGCGCAATATATATATATATATACTATAGTATTATATTAATATATACTGTATATATAGAAGTATAATAATATATAACTGTATTGTAGTATAGTTATATATTGCCTTATATAATATATTCTATATAATTATATAATATTCTATATAATTATATACTGTTTTATATATCCTATGCAGTAATGTATGCGTTATATACTATATATTACTATATATAATATAGTGATATTATATATTATAACATGTAATATTATAATACTATATATTATATTAATATAATATATATAATATAATATATATAATATATATAATATATATAATATATACATAATATATATAATTATGGGCAAGGTTCAGCAGTTGTGCACACAAGAAGTTCTGCTAGTGCAGCTGTAGCTTAGTCCTTTGGCTCCGGTAATAACATAAACATGAGCTTAGTTGTGGAGCTGATGTCTGTGTTTTAGCACTGTAACTGAAAACTCCGATGTTTTGTCCCTTTGTGATTAATTTTAAATACAAAGCCAGTTCCCTACATTTCTTAATGAGTTACGAACATATATTAGAAACCTTTAATGTGCGTGTTAAAGAAGGTTTGTTTTAGTCAAATTTTCATAAAATTTGAAGCTGATTGTTTTTCCTGCTGTTTTCCTTTATATGTTTGTATAGTTTAAGATAAATGTAGTAAAGCTTTTGGGAGAGAATTTTAATGTTATCAGCCTACTACATACCTGATCTAAAAATGTTCTTTGATTTTTATTTTTTTAAAATTCTCTTCCTTTTCAGCTCAGTGATGAAAATGAACAGTTAGTCAAGAAGGTGAAAAGACTACACATAAAAAATAAGGAGCTAGAAAAGAATCTGGGTCAGATCCAAGAAAAGTTGCATCTGCAGCAGTTAATGCCTGACTGTGGCACAAGCAGAGAGTAAGAAGTGTCAAATGTTTCTTTTTGCATCAAAAGAAGTGCAACATTTCAGGACTTTTACCTTCATGTTTTCAGACGAACTAGGCCTTATCTAGTGCACATATTTTGAGGGGCCATCTGTGACCAGGATGGTGGAAGTAGAAGATACTTGAGGCATGTAAAGGAACAAAGGCTGTCTGGGGCAACTTGTACAGAATTCATTATTGTAGTGAAAAAGCCAGTTTTAATATCAACAAGTAATACACCTGCTTAGCCAACATACTCTCTGTCTAATTGCAAAGACTTTTACATTTATTTTTCCACCAAACAGTAGTAAGATAGTTAAATTGCATCAATGCTATTTAAAAGATTTAGAAACCGAGACCTTTGGACCTGGAAAACTGTAGTGCCAGTGTTTTGGAAAGTGTCCTGCCAGGATTTAAGTAGTGGTCTGCAAAAATCGTCAAAGTTTAAATTTTGGTGTGTTTATGATCCTGCGTGGAAACCTCTACTGTAAAATCAAACTGAAAAGTAACTTGGCTTTTTTTCAGTTGTTTTGTTTGATCTAATTGAATTGTAAAATCTAATTTTATTAAGCTGTTGTTTTTCTTTCAATGAAGTGTTCAGGTTCAAACAGAAATCCATTTATGGTGTAAGGGTGGAGACAGCAAGGATTTTGTTCTAGAGTGTGACAGTGTCAGGTGAGTTCTTGGAAGTTGCTTCTTCACAGTAGTAAATATTCTTCTCTGTAGGGTAGAATATGTTGTTCATGGTTAAGTCAGTGAAATTTATAACTTATGGAGGTGAGGTGGCTTTCAGCCTTTGAAACGGTGGAAAATCATTTGCATTTTAAAAGGATTTACAAAACCTTAGATTAAACTTGAAAGTGGCACTAAAGAAAGAGCAAAATGGATTTCTTTCTTGAATCTTTAATTGAGAAAAATTTAATGAACCAGGAAGCTCCTTTATGTGTGTGTAGATTTTTTTTAAGATTTTGTAGATTTTTTTAACCACCTTCTATTTTGTGGCAGCTTTCTTAACTCATTTTATATAGCTCAGCTTTATGTGTATATAAAATTTATGGGCTGATACTGTTTTCAAAATAATCCAGAGAAGTGATTTTACTCTTTGGTGTAGTTAATTCTAGAGTTGAGCCACTACTTATTGTAGTTTGCCAGTTAATGCTAGAATGAAACTCTTGTAACTGCTTTTCTGATGCAAAGATACATTTTTTCATTTGATAAAATATACATTGAAACATTTTAATAACTAGGAAAGTGACATAAAATATTGTTCCATTCTTCTGTGACTTGACTGTAAAACAAACTGCTCCATCTCTTCTAAGGCTACTTTTTGTTCACTTACATAAATGGGCTGTGGATCTTACACAGATTGAGGCAGTCCCTATGGCTTCTTGGCCAAGCACCCTGTTTTTAATCTTTCCTTTAGGTGTCTTTAGAACGCCCTTTTAAATTTTTTTTTTTTGTTTTGGTTTGTTTTGGGTTTTTTTTGGTGTATTTTTGTTTTGTTAAATACCTTTTCAGTGTACCAGACTCTCTTTGCAAACTACATAGGAAGGGTTGGTGACTGGCTCTGACCTGGAATTGAGTACCTAGTTAGATGCTTACGGGGAAGAAGTCCAAGTTAGTCTTTGAATCAAGTGCTAGACCTGCTCTATATTAGGATGCAGTTAACCTGATGTACTGTTTTTTTTCTAGCATCTGTTTGTATGTTGTTTTACAAAGCTGTGCTGTACTACGGTCTAACTCATCCTGTTTGTAGTGTGCAGTCATAACTTAGTATGAATTACTAGAAAAAATAGGAAAAATGTAGTCAGTTATGTTCTGGCCCTCATATATGGAATCTGAATGCCATATAATATGGCAGGAAATTAGTGTAGCAGAAGTCTATGCAAGATAATATCAAAGAGAAAGATAACATCCCAAATCTGTTTATTTTACATTGATTTTTGCCCACTCACTCATTTTCTCATCGATTTCACTCACTGGTATCCTCACAGCTACACACTTGGAAGCAATGAGATGTTTTGTGTAACACAGAGAGCTGGGGACTCTGCCTCATGTGTCCTCATTATGGGTTCTTCATTGGTGGCAAGAAATTAGTTTCTGGACAAACATTTTAAAATCCTTTAGGAGTGTCCTTGTGCTATTCCTCTTGTGCTAACAGGGAGAGGAATTATATATGTGACGCTGCAGTCATTGCCACCCTCCTGTTGCTGGTGTATAGGTCTTGCATCAGAGTCATTTTCACTGAGGTTTAATCAGAATGTGGCCATGTGTACTGGACAAAACAGGGTCTTCAGTCTGGCTGAGTGAAAGATATTCTTTGCCATCCATACAGACCATTCTTTTAACTTGCTTATTGTTATTTTCTGGTGCTTTCTCTTTCTGTGTTGACAGTCTCACTTCATTCATGCCCATCTTAAATATTTCTGTTACAACTCTCTGCAGTGCAGCTACAGCCCAAGTGATCTCTGTGAGGTGTCTCTAATACCTTTGCCATAAGGGATGCATGTTTTTTGGCTTTTGTGTTTTACTGCAATTTATGCATTTCTTCTGTTTTAGACTGCTTCATATGTATAATGAGCTACAGAAACGTTACGTTAGAGAAAGCAAAAAAAACAAGGAGCAAAGTGAAGCAATTAAAAATCTCACTGTAAGTAGAATTTGTAGGAGGTGGTATCAAATAGCCAAACGTAAGCTTTTAGGGAGACTGGAAAGTGTTTCTTGCGTTTGTGCAATGAGATCATGCTTTTCCTGTTATACTTATTTTTGTTTCTCATGATGTTGAGATAATGGAGAGTAGCCTGTAGTTCCTTTTGAAAATGAACTTTTGTCTCTGGTAACAGAAACCTGTCTCCCCTTTCCTTGCTTTTTTCTTTACTCATCTCCCTACCTGTCCTTCCAATTGTATGTACATCTTTTGACCTGCCTTACCCTGATATTCTTCTATGTGTGTCAAGAGCTGATTTATTTCAGAAATTCGGCAGTAGCAAACCAAATGGAGGCAAGCAGTCTTCTTTCAGGTAGCAAGACCTGTGGGCTTGCTGTGCAAAGAGACTAACATCATAACTGAAGTGAAGGTAGAGTTGCGTGACCAGGAGTGGTTCTAGTGGTTCAAGTGGGTATTGCCTCTTTGGGCAATTGATCAAGCATTGCAGTTGACCAGTCTCATTTCCTCATTTGTGCTTTATTTGTTTGTGAATTAGTATTAATTATAACTTGGATTATATGCACTTTTTCTTACAAGCTGGGAATTGCTGCCATGAAGGTATGCTTTGCTGTGAGGGAAGGTTTAGTTTCTTTGTGCATTTATATTGTTCTGGAACAGGTTGCCCAGAGAAGTTGTGGATGCCCCCCCCGGAAGTGTTTTCAAGGCCAGTTTGGATGGGGCTTTGAGCACCCTGGTCTCGTGGAAGGGGTCTCTGCCTGTGGCAGGGGGGTTGAAACTAGATGGTCTTTAAGGTCTCTTCCAATCCAAACCATTCTGTGATTCCATGATTGTCTTGCAAGCATGTGCTCGCAGATTTTTTTAAAACACTTGATGTATGCAAAACTTCACTTGCTGTGAAGTTTTTTCTTTTTTCTCCTTTCAGACCCTTTGGATGAATGTAGTTTTAAGTCAGCAAATGAAAGCTCTGGGTTTGTATTCAGAATGTGTTTTCAGTGGTATTCAGTTGAACTGTGTTTTTTCTGTTCATTTTAAAAAATTTTTCTCAACAGATTAAAATTCATGAGCTAGAGCATAATCTTCAAGAGCAGAGGCAAAGAATTGAACAACTGGAATGTAAAAAGGTTTCTTGGAAAACTAGTGCTGTTTCTGGAAAAAGAAGTCGAACCTCAGAGGGAGGAATAACTTCTCACAGGGACATTTCTGAAGAGAAGGAACCCTGTTGCAGTGAATATTTAGGTAATGGTGCCGTTAATTTTGATGATGTTCCTTCTAGTATGCCCATCAGAGAGAATGCATTTAATTTCTGACCTAGAGGCCGTTTTTCTACTTCAACCAGCATTAGCTAAAATGTTCTTTTCATTTTTGAAAACCTGTTATGTAAAAATGGCATCTTGTAGTCTAGGATTCAACCTTGCATTTGTTTGTTATTAAATGTTTGCTGTTTTGTTTTTCTGGAATTGGTAGGTTGATAAAATCAGAGGTAGGAGTGTGTGGCTGTATTTAGAGCTATTTATTCTTTATTCTGGTAAGATGTATGTATGCAGATCCCTTAGTAATAATGTTTACTGCACCATTCTTTGGTTTTCAGACACTGATATACAAAATAACCTGGGTTTAGCCCTAAAATGTTGGACAAACCTAGGCAATACTGATTTCAGCATGTTCTTCCTCACAAGTAAATCCACAAGTTAAGGTGCAATCCTGTTCTACGTCAAAGCATAGAAAAGAGGTGGAAGAGATCTTATAATGTAGGCATAATTTTCAGGAAATGTGCTGTCAGCAAGGGCTAATGTGACCCTCTTGTAAGTCAGAAAAAGGTAATTGAAGCATGTATGTTTTGTGGATTTTTAAAGTAAAATAATCCTCCATTCTAAGAATCTGGCAAATTCAAATTATCCAGTTGGCAAATCCTGCTGTCTTTCATAGTACTTGGGTATGTTCTGGGCCAGTTCTTAAGAATAAATCACTTTATGAAAAAGATACTTTAATTTTCTAATATCACAAAAGGTAGGCAGCTCTTTAACTGTCATATGATTCATATGAGTGGGAGGTTGACTGTATTGGTTGAAGTGTACATTTTTTTATTTGAATGTAGAGCTATTGTTGAAGGAGATTAAAAAGCTGAAGAAAGAAAATGCAAAGTTGTCTGCAGAAAAGAGAGCACTAAAAAATGAATTAGCTGGATTAGACAAGGTAATTTATTTTAAGACAAGTTTAACAGGAGGTGATTTTTGAAAAACTAACTTTTCTGCCTGAACCAAAACATCTTTAGGCTGAACATATGTTGTTATCAAGCCAAATACAAAAAAAATCAGTGTATAGCATCCTGAGAGAAATGGAAATGAATGGCTCCTTGAAACATTCATGTCCTACAGTGCTGCTTGGCTAAGGAAGAGGAATAATGCAATTTTAATTTTATGGTTTTGGCTTTATTTTTGGTTTTAATCCATAGCTGTGGACTTTTTATTTTTTTAACGTTTGGGCTATTTGAATTCCTTTATGAAAGATTATTTGCCTCAGCTTGTTTTGACATTGCTCGTTTTGTCATTAAAATTGTAACTGCTGGTACAGTCTTAATTTCTTCCAGCAGGTACTTGCAGAGAGAATAAAAATAGTTTTTTGACTGATCACTTTTATTGCTTCATGATTTCAGTGAAAAGAAAACTATTTTCTCCTGAACTCAAACATATCAAATTTATGCCTCTGACAGAACTCCAAGCTTGGGGAGGGCAGAGGCTTTGAAGTTTCTGTGATAGATCGATAAGTGTAGAAAGTGAAAGTGCAAAAATTTGGTAATTCTTGAAATAACGTAAGAAGATGAAGAGATCTTATCTAGTTGTAGAGGGCTCTGTTTAATGTGCTGACATAAGATTTTATTTTCAGCAACAGACTTGTTTGAAGTGTTTTTTGCTTATTTCTCAGGTCTTGTATTGGATTTTTTTTTTTTTTAGAATCTGTTTTCTTACCTTGCAGTCCTTTCTCACAAACTAAATAACTTTAAGCTAGCTTTCATTAAGGGGTAGCAGTAAAAGATGATGGTAGTTCATTGGGTGTGAAACTGGTAGCACACTGAGCCAGGGTGAATTCTAGATCCCCATGTTTGGGAGTTAGGGACAGCTTGTGGCTAAAAGTTTCATCTTCCAGAAGAGAAATATGTAAATCTGAGGTCATGACTTTTTATCGGTGACCCTTTTTTAGGTAGTTTTAAGTCACTGTATGTTATTTAAGATGTATGTAGCTATTAATTAAAAAAAGAATAGGCAGGAGAAAATGTTAAATACGGATGGATGTAGGTAGATACATTGTTACTTTGGTAGATAGGAGTTTACAAGGTTGGTGAAATGAAGACTTTAGTAATTACACTCCACTTTCTGTCCATATATTTCCCGGCAATTTCTGACTTCACTTACAAAGAGTCAGAATTGCTCAACAGACTTGAGCTGCAGGAGCTGAACAAAACGTAATTCCATATATGATGATTATTTCTATGAATCTGGGTTTGTCTCATATTTGAATTAAGTCTAACTAGAACTACGTGCTCAGTTATCCATTCTGGGATAGTATAATTGCAAAAGGATCAATATGAGAAAGTGAAACCACACAGCCTGACATTAAATAAGCTGGAGCACCTCTCCTATGAAGACAGAGAGTTGGGGTTGTTAAGCCTGGATAAGAGAAGGCTCTGGGGAGACCTCATAGCACCTTCCAGTACCTAAAGGGGGCCTGCAAGAAAACAGGAGAGGGACTTTTCACAAGGGCGTGTAGTGACAGGACAAGGGGCAATGGCTTTAAACTGAAATAGGGTGTGTTTAGATGAGATATTAGGAAGAAATTCTTTGCTGTGAGGCTGGTGAGGCACTGGAACAGGTTGCCCAGAGAAGTTGTAGATGTTCCATCCCTGGAACTGTTCAAGTCCAGGTTGGCTGGGGGCCTGAGCAACCCGATCTAGTGGAACGTGTCCTGCCCATGGCAAGGGGGCTGTAACTAGGTGATCTTTGTCTCTTCCAACCCAAACCATTCTATGATTCCATGTTCAACAGAACTTTTTTCTGTGGATTTCATATTGGCCTGTCTCTTTATGTTCTGTGTAGCCTTACATATTGCTCTTTTTCCCTCCTTTGTTGTCACTTGCTTTTATCTGAGCCAGTTGAACCTGTTGGATAGTGTTTTAGGCTATGTCAAGTTTAATGCATCATAAATCTTATCCTTTTGAATATGAAAATCAAACTTTTTAACATACTGTAGTGAGAAATAATAGATCCTAATCTGAAATAGGACATTCATTAACACAATGTAGTTGTACTTGAAGTTCTGAATAGGTACTAGCAATTTACAAAGAGGTTAAGGTCTAACAAGATTTTACATCTTTCTAGATCTAAATATGGTATCCATTGTTCCATCCTAAGCTCTTTAGTGTTGTCTTCTTCAAATACTAACTTCTTGTTCCTTAGTATACTCTCCTCATCTCTCTCCTTGCTCATTTGTCCCTATTCATAGCCTTGCCTTTTGGATTCTTGAAGTTAATGGTGTGCTCTCTGCTACTGTCTGATTTTGAGAGGTGTAGTTGTGTTTTTGCGCAGAGGACTGTGACACTATTACCTTGTCATTCTGGACTGTCATTTTGTAGCTGCCTGATAAGTCAACATTTTTTCCCTTTTTTTTAATTAGTCTTTCCTATTATTAGTCTGTACTCCAGGCTCTAACATAACTTGAATTCTGCTTGCATTGTGTGTTCGGGGCAGAGTTTTACATTGTTACCTGAGGTTATAGTTGATTGCTGTATTTCACCATAGCTGTGTTTGCGTAATGCGATCATATGTTAATAAAAATATGGAGGGTGTCTTTGAACTTTTGAGGAACTGAAATGCTGACTAGCTCGTATTGAGAATGTCTTTGAAAGAAAGTTTAAGGTGAATATTTTTTGATTTTCCTAGGAATTTTTTGAAGAGGTAGAAGATCTAAAGCATGCTGTACAGGAATGTCTGAAACTGAACTATGAGTACGAAAAATGCTTGAAACAAATAAGTGTAATGTATGGGCTTCCTTTTACAGCACATTTGTAAATACTGGTTAATTTAATGGCAAGTAGAGTTTCCACTTTTTTTTTATACTTACTGCAACATTTAAACCTACCATGGCTTAAGTGGTACCTCATTTTGATGATGTTATGGATTCATTAATATGATCCTAACAAGTTTCTCTGAAATGTTTTTGTATTTTGTGCCTTTAATTTTTTGTTTATATGGTTTTTAAATAAACTGTGGTCTGTATAACTTTAACTAAGTTTCAAAGCCTTCTCTTTCACACTTATGAAATACATTCATTGTAGGAGTGATTGTGGGCGTTTATGGGAATATGACAAAAATCTTTGAATTTCCCAATTTATCCTTTTCTGTAAGCTAAATCAAATTAGATGTGTAGATTTGGCAGTCTTTGTGAATTTTAGCGCTAAGTGTGTGCTAATGCAGACAAAAATTAATTTTATCATTAAATCATTGCAAAGGGGTTTCTTAAAAGAAAAATGCTAAATCTCTCCTTGGAATTTTTCTTTAATCACAATAATAAGTTAAAATATGTGGATGAAGGAAGGATTTAGGGTTCAGAATTGGAAAGAGTGTATTCAGAAAGATGGGTCAGAAAGTTGTTTTGCAGGATCAAAAGAAGAATTCATCAGAAGCTCTTATTTGATTGAAGAGTGAGGTACTGGAAGAGCTCTGGTATTTGAAGAGCTAAAAAGGAGAGTGGAGTACAGAGAGTCACAGTTCACAAGGCAAAATTACCGTGTTGCTTCAGAGCTTGGCATGAAAAGAGACAACTCCCAGTTGCAAGTTAGCTTGCAGAACCTTGTGAGATTTTGAACCTGAACTTGTTTTTAACTACATTTCACAAAAGTTTAACATAGTTACATTATAGAATTGTATTTTTCTGAAAGTTGTAAATCTGTAACTTTGTGGCATTATGATGGAAGACTTAAGTGAAAACTATCATAAGGCTAGAAAAACTAAGCTTGCTTATAACCTGATACAACTTCTTCAGCTTCATAAAAATATGTGCACACTCATGAGGGGTAGGACTAGGATTCTTGTATCCAACTCGGTTTGTTAGGACAGTTTTATGTAGTTGTAAATGAATAAAGAAATTTACCTCAAAGCATATGATATGTTCAGAGTTACATATTCACTAAGTGACAGAGAGGGTAACTCCTTGCCTCCTGCTCTGGCTATAGAGCATTGTGTTCCCTTGTTTCATTCTCGGCTTACTTCTAAATTAAAGCTGGATAATGTTCCGAACAGAGATGGAAAGGGGAAAGAAAAGAGGCGTGATAGAAGTCTGCATTTGCAGTAAACTTGATGGAAGAAAACAGGAAGAATAGCATGTATAATGGAAGAATTATAAGTGCAAAAATGTTTCTAACTTGTTAGTAAGCAAAATAGACATGAATGCTGGAGAAGGAATCGGTGCTAATCACTGGAGCATTTTTCCCCACAGTTTTGTGGTATAAAGTTATACTTCTAGCATGTTTAAACTTTGGTCCTGTTGTTAAATTAATCAGTAATTGCCCTTGTCCACAGGCTGATTTTTAAATGTCATGCAGAATCGTTCTTCAAACATGGTGATGAGGAAAAGTTCAGGGTCTCTGCTGCCGAAAGAATGTATACATTGACTGCATAAAAAAATGTTATGACTAGCAGAATTTTACTGTTTGCCAGCTACTGAAGATCAGAATATTTTTCATTATAAAGTTCTCTGCCCAAACAATTGAAAATAATTAATATGGTGAAAATACCATATTAATCACCTTTGTGATGAGCTTTTGAAACTTTTAAAACTCACTTTCGCATCAGGCCACTCACATACATTTAGAACAAGAAACAGTGAGAAATCCTTCAGTCTTTTCTCATAACTAAGGTCCTCAAGCTCTAGGAAACCAGATTCTAGTCTAATCTTAACAATGAGCCATGTAAGGGGGAGGAGTAGCAACGCACTGTGCAGTGGCAGGCAGAACCACAGCTCCATCTTGCAGTGTGTGTGCAGCCTGGCAGCACCACTTTTGGCCTCACCGTCACGTGTGAGAGGCTGTGGCTCTCCGCTCCTTGGGTCCCCGTATGGGAGGTTCAGATCCCTGCTGCATGTGCTTGGTTTCCGAGTAAACCACATTCCCAGGGATGCGTGGAGCCGTCCAGCCACATTCATGGGCTGGCAGGTGGCAGAGCGAGGTGGGCAGGATTTCTCTCAACCAGTAGTAGCAGTTGCCTTTCAGCTTGTTCTGCATCGCTGACTTTGTGATTTTATTTTTTTTAAATTTCCCTTTCTATTTTTTCTTTCACTATCAGGAATGCTGGAAATGTAGGGTGCAGATGGGAGACCTCTGGCATCTTCCACATGTGTGGCACAACTCCCAGAATAGTAACGATTACCAGCAGAAATGATGGGAGAGGGAGCATATGTGGAAATAACTGGCTCTGTGGCTTTGATTGTGGCAGTTGCTGCTTGTGACTTTTGAAAATGCAGTTTTACCTTGAAGATATTTTTATTTTCTACTAATTGCAGGGGGTTTTTTCCTTGCATTTGATGGGATCATTTTGCTCTTGAAGATGTGATTTTTTTTTTCTTTTGGACATGCTTAATGCAAGTTAAACAACTTACTGACAATTTCTGTTCAGATTAGTACTGGTTTTGTTGGAAGAGGAAACTGTCTAGGACTACCAAAGTCTACTTCCAAATTCTGGGGTAGGTGCAGTTTGTGCAGGATAAAGCCCTATAAATTTGTGTGTTTAGTTAAGAATTTACCTGTCTTTTGTCCTTGTTGCTGTGTCGGGTAACAGATACTTCTGCTTTAATCTTGCCTTGGTGTGAGATGTACAAACAAGGTCTTTTTGATTTTGATTGCTAGTTAAAGTGCAGATGAGATGAATGTTAAACAAGTTAATCAGGCTTTATGTGTAGTTCCACTGTATTGTGGAATTGTGACGTCTGGCCGGTGGCTTTCTTCAGCTAAATCAAGTTTAGATAGAACTGAATTGCATGCAATTAAGTATTAGTCATGCTAATGTTAGATAATGTATATTAGAAATATTTCATGATGCAGTCTAATGATTTTTTTGTCTCGAATAAGTACTCGAATAGTGCTGATATGGGAAGCTTGTGTTTGAAAATAAGTGGCTATTATCAAACGGAGGTTTTGGTTGGAAAAATAATGTAATAATCATATGTCAGTTTTCAGTTTCCATGAGACATAAATCAAACGGGCAAGTGCATGGGACAGTTAAGCAATTTAACTTTATTCTGTATTCTATATACAGCTGAGGCCAGAATTTTAGAAAGATCCAATTTTGTGTGGCTCTGTAATTTTGTCCTAATGTGCCTAACACTTCAGGTCTTAAGAGTCAAAGGCACTGAATATTCACAGTTTTAATCGGATTTAGTCAGTTCAAATGCACATGGGCTGCTAATCACTGAGTACTGAGTCCAGTAATTGCTAACATCCTGTATATTAGTACTATGTTAGGATTTTTCTATTGCAGAAAGCAGAATTGCAATCCCATTCTCGGGTGGGTGACAAGATTTTGTGGTTTTCTCTAGAATTCCATGGGCATGTGAAGTAACATCTTTATAGTTCTCCTGGAGTCCCTTTTACTGTAACTGTACCACAGTTTACCTTTAAAGAATGAGGCTTTCAGACACCCAGTGCTCTTCAGAGTGAGACCCGAGAGGCTGCACGTGGAAGCCGAGTGATTTTACTGGAAGTCAGGGTTGTATCTCTGTTCTCTCAGGTGGGACACTTGTTCATTGTAGGCACTTCCACTGGAAAAGTGTGTTTATGTCAAGGACTGTGGAAGAAAGAGAATGGTGAAAGGGGGCATTTCCTCCTTACACTAGGAATAGTGAGTTCCTTTTAAATGCTTGTAGACAAGTGAAACAATCAATAAGCCCTGTTACAATTGTGGTTTATTGGAGTGAAGACATTTGTTTTGGATTAGCCTTTAACAGGGCAGAAAAAAAATACTGTAGTTTCAAAAGTTACCTGCTTGGGTTACAAGCTATGCAAGGTGCAAGAAAGCAGTAAACACAGTTACCTTACCAATTTAGATTCGTTTACACACGTTTCTCTATAGCTGTAGTGCAGCTTCTGTTTCTGAGGCTTAGGTTTTTTCTTGTTTTCCGCTTGTTAGAAACAAAGCATTGTTAGTGAGATACCCATGTATCTGTGCCTGTGTTCCTGAAAAGCTCCTGTAAACTTGTTCTGGGATACTAAATTGCTTTTTTGTTGTTGGAGATTGTAACAACAAGACATATTAGAAGTGCTAATGGAATTAATTTGGTGTAGTCATGTTATGTACTTGTGCCAGAAGGTGCCCTCCAGGAGTTGTTTAGGGTGGAGAGAAGGAGGCTGAGGGGAGACCTTATTGCCCTCTATAACTACCTGAAAGGAAGTTGTAGCCAGGTAGATGTTGGTCTCTTCTACCAAATAATAAGTGATAAGACAAGAGGAAACAGCCTCATGTCTGGTTAGGGGACGTTTAGATTTGACATCAGGAAAAATTTCTTCACTGAAAGAGTTGTCCAGTATTGGAACAGGCTGCCCAGGGAAGTGATTGAGTCACCATCTCTGGAGGTATTTAAAGGATGTGTGAATGTGGCACCTAGGGACATGGTTTAGTGCTGACAGTGCTGAGTTAAGGGTTGGACTCAGTTTTAGAATTCTTTTGAACCTAAATGATTCTATATGGATTTTTTTGTTGTTTTTGCTGCTGCTGTTAAGCTAAGCTCTGTTGTTACCTATCTTTGACCCCTACTCACAGTGTTTTCACTGTATAGTTCTAAAAAAAGGCATCATGCACCAAGATCCTGGCTGGCTTTAAACTGGTTTCCTTGGTCCTGGTAGGAGAGAGTGCAGTTCTGTGCTCAGTGGCATGGCTGTCTGTGTACCAGAAGGAGAAGACCAACTTTGCTATTTAGGTCAATTACACATTCCCAAATCGTTCAGGGTGACAAGAAGCTAACACTGTAGGCCTTGCATGGTAGTTTTCCACAGGGAATGCTGACTTAATGAATATTTTATTTTGTATTTTCTCCACAGGGATTTTGTACTGACAAAACACCCAGTGTGATCCTTTGACTACTCCTAGCTATTTTTGTCCAAGAGAAGAGAACTGAGCCATTGAGTCTTATGCTGGTGCTGCAATGCTGAGTTATAGCTCGACTACTGTGAAGAATCTTCCTCTGAAGAAGAGGCTCTGTTTTCTGTTGAAACTTGTGGGCTTTGTCACCTCAGTGTTCATATTTTGTGAATTTTTAATTTATTATGTGGTGATTTTTCAATGCCGATGGCCAGAAGTGAAAGGTGGAGCTCCCATGGGTGAAAAAGAGACTTCAGCTTCAGTCCTAAAGGCCATGATTTTAGCTGATACTCACCTACTTGGTGAAATCAAAGGACATTGGTTTGATAAACTAAGAAGGTAATTATTAATTTTTTTTAATAACCTCTATCCTAGTTTTAGTATTTTTAATAGTAGCTAATGAGATAGTAATTCACTGTTCTAATTAATTGCTGTTTAATGGAATTGTAATGAAAAAAATAAACAAGCTGGTATTACTTCTTGCATGTGTTGGTCCTGTTTGTATTGTGGTAGAATTACCCACCAGGTAAGATGCACCTACTGTACTTAAAGCTGATTTCTAAGTATTTAATTTGAATTTCGTATTATATTGTCATATTTCAGTGTGTGGAAGTAATTTTCCCTTTTCCGTTGCCAGGCTGTGTCTGTGTATTCAGAGTTGAGGATCCAGAGGTTAGGCAGTGATGACTGGCTCTGTATTTTCCTTTCAGGGAATGGCAGATGGAGAGATCTTTCCAAACTGCCTTATGGTTACTGCAGCCAGATATTGTTTTTATTCTGGGAGATATCTTTGATGAAGGCAAATGGAGCTCACCTCAGGTATGACATCATCAACTCTCTTATTTCAAAAAATGAGGATTTCTTGAAGGAAATGGATGACAGAAGAAAGCAGACTAGGTATGCAAGGCTTTGGTTTTTTTTGCTACAGTCGTCCTGTTGTTGGTAGAAGTTTCTAGTCTTTTAGATATGAGTTCATTTTTGGTAGTATCTTGACAATTTTGCCCCTCATATAAAACTTACAAAATGTTAACATCTCAGTGTGTGCTTCTGTATTACATAGTTGTGATGGGCTGACCCTGGCTGGATGCCAGGTGCCCACCAAAGCTGCTCTATCACTCCCCTCCTCAGCTGAACAGGGGAGAGAAAATACAAGAAAGACTCATGGGTCGAGGTAAGGATGGGGAGAGATCACTCAACAACTACCCTCACGGGCAAAAGAGAGCTGGGGAAAAATAATTTAATTTGTTGCCAGTCAAATCAGAGTAGGGTACTGAGAAAATAATTCCAAATCTTAAAACACCTTCCCTCCATCCCTTCCTTCTTCCTGGGCTCAATGACATTCTCAATTCTCTACCTCATGCACCCAGCAGCACAGGAGGATGGAGAATGGGGGTTGCAGTCAGTTCATCACACGTTGTCTCTGCTGCTCCTTCCTCCTCAGGAGGACTCCTCACACTCTTCCCCTGTTCAGTGTGGTGTCTCTCCCATGGGAGGCAGTCCACCAACTTCTCCAATGTGAGCCCCTTTCACAGGCTGCAGTAAGTACAATCATATTGGTCTTAACCCACAAAACCCAAATGTATAACCCAGTAGCAGACTGCTCCAGTGTGGGTCCCCTGCAGGGTCACAAGTCCTGCCAGCAAACCTGCTCCAGAGTTAGGTCCTCTCACCACAGATTTTGCCAGGACCCTGCTCCAGCATGGGCTTCCCATGGGGTTACAGCCTCCTCAGGCATCCACCTGCTCCAGCCTGGGGTCCTTCGTGGGCTGCAGGTGGATCTCTGCTCCTCTGTGGACCTCCATGGGCTGCAGGAGGCCAGGCTGCTTCACCATGGTCTGCACCATAGGGGAATCTCAGCTCCGGTGCCTGGAGCACTTCCTCCCCCTCCTTCTTCAGTGACCTTGGTGCCTGCAGGGCTGTTGTTCACATACTCTCACTCCTCTCTGGCTGCAATTGCACAGTTTTTTTTCTGCCTTCCTCACTGTTATCCCAGAGGTGTTGCCACTGTTGCTGATGGGCTCAACCTTGGCCACTGGCAGCTCCATCCTGGAGCCGGCTGGCATTGGCTCTGTCAGGCACAGGGGAAGCCTCTGACAGCTTCCCAGAGAAGCCACCCTGTAGCCCCCCAGTAACAAAACCTTGCTGTGCGAACCCACTGCAATACTAGTGGTCCCCTTTGATACTGTGGAACAGCATTAATTTCTCCTTTTGTTTTTTATATGCAGGCATGGGCAGATGATGTCAGGAGATTTCGGAAAATGTTCAAGTATCCAGTTTCTACTGAGCTAGTGGTCATTGTTGGGAATCATGACATTGGATTTCATTATGAGTAAGTCTTGTCAGTGAAAGGAGTACCCAAGTGCCAAGAATGAATGTCGGCATGCATACAGTAACTGGTTTTGTGTCTGAGCGACCTGTTTTGTGGTTATATGGAAAGTTTTTGATCATTATGTAATCAGAAAGGATTGTAGTTTAGGGTAAGACCTTAAAAGACATCCACTTGTGCACAAAACATGTTTCAGGCTACTTTTATACTTCTGTGACCACATGAGAAGTTGTTCAGAGCTGATCTTTCTGTGCTGGCTTGGAATCCTTGTGTTGGGCCTCCTTGTCAGAAAGGTGTTTAGTGGGAGCTATTTCCTTTCCTGTTATCTCGGCATAGAAGAGTGTGAGTGCCCTCGTTCTGCTGTGCTTGCCCTGATGGGACTGGGAAAGAGGACATGAGGGGTGTCAGAGCATCCCTGTGAGTTTGCTGAATGAATGTGTGAGCTGGATAATGGAGCAGCAAGACGAATGAATGACCAACAACCTGTAAAGCAACTGTGTCAGATGAGTTCCAATGCCAATTTCTTACCTCAGTTGTATTTTTGCTCTGTGACACAGAATGACTACTTACAAGGTAAATCGATTTGAAAAGGTTTTCAACTTGACTTCAGGAAAGCTAATAACTCGGAAAGGAATAAAGTGAGTATATTTAAATTTTTTTTAATGTTTAGAGCAGAGATTAGTGAGCTAGCAGACCAGTGATGAAAACCAGAAGTGGAATTTCTAATGAAATAGTATGGGGATGCTTAGCTTAGAGCCTTTTTAATCATCTACCTTATGATATGTTAAACCCAAAACACTTTGTACAAACCCATAGTTTGATATCCAGTGGAAGCTGTACTTTGAGATGGGTAAATTGTAACAATTTCCTTTTAAATGGAAAAGTACTGTGGAACCAGAATCCATTTCTTTGGTTTGCCTTTATACTTCCTGGCAGCTGGTAATGAGCCATGGCTGTAAACATAAAAGGATTCATAAAGAAACACAAACCAACCTCCTCTGTGTTTACAAATTAAAAGTTTCATTAATTTTAATAACTTCTTTACTCTGCAGAACTTAACTCGTTTGAGGAATTTGGGAACATAGCAGTTGCTTTTCCACGGTTTTCCACAGGGTGGAGTAATAATGCACAAGCTGCTTTTGGCTTGGAGTAGAACTAGTTTCAGAGTTTGTTCTCACAGATGTGTGTCCGTGGCTGCAGTCGTCTGCTGTGTGCCCTGTTACCTTCAGATACCATGCAGGAATTCGATGAGGGAAGCCAAGAGTGAGTTTGTGGAAAGGTGTTTGTCTTTAAAGCTCAGATATACGAAGGGAAGGCCCACTGCCAGTCTGCATTTGGCACATGTAATATGGTTGTAATCGCTCGTGTAAATGTGAGATTCAAAACTTGCAGTTCCTTAATTAAGCAAATGTGAAAAATATTCTCAACAGGTCTAGAAATGGTTGTGTCTATTTTAGGAAGATCTATGAGCTTCATGCATGCTCTCTGTAAAGCTGTAGTTTATCATGCAGATGTGGGGTGCTCTAGATATGTATTTCAGCTGTTGTAAAAATAATTATTAAGGAACATCTCCACTTCCCCTTTGATAAAACAGAGCAGTGCGTGTAGTTACAGACTGTATGTCTGGTATCACGTTCATTAACTGAAATGAGCTGCACTATTAATGAAAAGTTCTGAGATAAACTATTTTACAACAAATATGTGGTATAAAAGCTTAATTTGCTAAGAGAGAATAACTGGTTTTTTTTGTATTGACTAGTATCTCTTAAGTGAAGGCATTCAGCTCATTTGTGTCTGTAAAACATACTGAATTGAACTGGAATATATCTCAGATCCTGAATGTGTGACTAAATGGGTATGAATCTTGTGGCAGAAGTTCAAAGGTGATTTGAAATCTACAGGGAAACCTTCTATTACAAATACAATCCTGTTTTCTGTGCTAGAGACTGCAAAGTGCGAAACTACGTTTTTTCAGGGTAGCCAGCCAAATGCAGGGTTGTTTTGCTTTTCAGTTGCTCCGAAGAAACTGAATGTCTAAAATTCTCTCTCTGAGGTCTAGAGTGTGTGTGGGGAGAAAAGCGAGTTCTCCTTTCCCTTAGAATTCAGCTTAGTGACGAACTTCTAACATTCCACGAGAATACCACTTGAATATCCGTTAAAATATGAAAATATCTTGATGTGTAAACATGAAGCATAAGGTATATTGTGCCACCTAATTAAGAACTGATTATAAAGCAGCCTACCAGACAGAGAAATGTCTACAGTGCAGATACTCAGAAGAGGATTTTTAGCATGAGATTTCAGAAGCTGTTACATTCTGCTGTTTTGTTGAGCTGTGTCCAACTTTCAAACACTTGCACTTTATAAAATAAAGTTTATCCAGCATGTGTGCATGAGCAACAAATGCTTTCCTGCCCTCCTCACCTCTCTTCATCCACCCCCTGGTCTTTTCCAGCTTTGTCCTGGTGAACAGTGTAGCCATGGACGGTGATGGCTGTGCTGTCTGCAGTACCTCAGAGGCAAAGCTTGTGGCACTTTCTCACAAACTGAATTGCTCCCTGCAGGTAAGAGTTTATTAAAGATCTGATTACAGCCAGCAATGGGATATTGCTGCTACATAGTTACCACAGTGAGAATACTGATACTGTAGCAATAATCAGGCTAAATAAGACTCTCCTGAAAAAGATGTTTCCAATTCATATTGCAACTTGTTAGCAAAGCTTTCTCCTCATTTCTCTCTTACCATTTTTACTTAACTGTGTTGCTTTGCACTAACGTGTTAATTTCCTTGTCAGGGTTGCCAACAGAGGGTGTCATTTCCTCTGTTCCAAAAAGGCAGAAGTTCTGTAACCCTCCCTTTGATTTAAAATACATAATCCTGCTTTTATGTTTATGCATATTATTCTGTTTTATAGCCTTCAAGCTAGCCTATTATTTTAGTTTCCTGATTCTATTGCAGTCCTGTCTTGATAGCCTAGTAATGTTTTAATTGTATTATTTTTTCATCAAATCCAATTGCTTCTTGTATTTCATTCCTCTTCACCTTCTCATAGGCCTACTGGACGCATAGTGGGCAGCATGACTGATGGGGCTGGCAGTCAATCAGGAAACCAGGTCCCAGTGGAAAAATTGGCAGACTATCTCTCTCGGGCTGCCCCCAAAGTCTTTTGCCTTTGTGCAGTGAGATCCTGCTGTTGCTTTCTGCGTTCAGAAAGAGTGCAGCTGTATTTACAGCATATACAGAACAGGGAATTGCATCACTCCACAGCAGAGACTCTCAGAAGTTCATACAGTGGATAGTGCTTAAACACTGTACTCTTAGCTGAAACTGCTTTCCCTTAAAAAAAAAAAGGCCAACAACCACCCCCCTCCAACCCCTCAAAACCTAGTTATTGCTTAATTTACCTTCACCCCTTCTATGGATTAATTTTATTCACAGAAACCAAATCATTCCAACAAAAGATGCAGTGATGTGGAAGAGCTTCCAGCTTCAGAACCCATTCTTTTACAGGTATGTTAGAGGTGGAGGGAGGCAACATGTTGACATGGGGTTTTTGTGTATTTATTACTCTTCCAGAAAGGCTGGATCATTAACAACTGGTCCTTTCTTTTAATTACTCCCAGCATTACCCTCTCTATCGGAAAAGTGATGCTGAATGCAGTGGAGAAGATTCTGCTCCTCCAGAGGAGAAGAACACCCCCTTTAAAGAAAAGTATGATGTACTGTCTCAAGAGGCATCACAAAAGGTTTGATTTATTGGGAACTTGAGTATTGGTGGGTAGGTGAGAGGGGAACACAAGTGTAGCTATAAATAGATTAAAAACTTGTGGTAAGGCTGTTAGCTGGGACAAACTGACCACACCTGCTCCTGCTCTAATGAGCTCTATGAGAGGCTGCTTGTTAGAGCGGCTCCTCTGAGAATTGTTGCGATCATGACCTTGATCCTGCTGGGTTTTCCAGGCATAGGTCATAAGTCCCAACACTCTCAAGTCTCCTGCAGTGCTGATACCTCCACTTTACAATTTTGTACTTTCTGTACTGTATAGAATTGCTGACAAAGCTGGTAGAAAGCCACAGTTTTCCAATACTTTGAAAGCATTGTTTTTGCTGAATTAGTAAGTGCAAGAAAATGTAAAGATAAGGCATTCCCTAAAAACCTAATGGTCAGTAGTTTTTTCCTTCTGCATAAATGTCTTCATTCAAGACTGTCAGTACAAAATTCTTCCTTAGACAAGAAAGTAGCACTGCTTTACTAAACCCAAAGTTTTTCTACTTGTGATAGCAACAAGATGTTGCCTTTGTTCTTCTGATCTGTATGGCAAAAAAAATAACAGCCCAGTAACTTGGGATCAGGGCCAAATGGGTGTGATTAATATTGCAATACCAACACATTTCTTACTGGAAAACACAACTTTGCATAAAACACTTTGTAAGAATATTAGAATTGCCATAAATTCACTCCGTTTGAAGAAAAAAAAAGGGGGGTTTTAAGTTACATTTTTTTTAGCTGTGACTTAAGTTTTGTGCTTTGTCATTTTGCGTTCTAGCTGATATGGTGGTTTCACCCCCGTTTGATTCTCAGTGGACACACACATAGTGCTTGTGAAGTGCTGCATGCAGGGAAAATTCTAGAAGTCAGCGTCCCGTCATTCAGTTGGAGGAATAGAAACAATCCTAGTTTCATCATGGTAAGTTTTAATTTTTTTTTATTTTTGTCAGATAACTTTCATAAATAAATCAACATGGCAGTCAGCTATATTTTAAAACTGATTCTACCTGTAAAAACGAAAAAATAAAAAAAAAATTGCCTACCCACCCAACCCACTCAGTACACTGCATCCACTTTATAAAGTACATCTGTGGGAGCCACATGTTCTGTGTGGTACAAAGCAATGCTGTTGAAGACCTAATTAGTATATGGGTACAAGCATCTAACATTTTCTTATAAAGAGGGTGCATTGTAAACTACTGACTTGTAAAAATAATCAGTATTGTGCACTGAACAGTAGAAAGACTAGTTTGACGTGGTTGATTTACCAACTATGAAAACAAGACTGTATCCACCTCAGACTCTTTTGCAGGGTGATGATGGTTTTCAGACTTGTGCATTAACTGCTTCACGCAGTGACAGCGTTTGTGACGTGCCCACAATCTGCCTCCTCATTGCCAATTCACATTTTATACAGTGTGTTGGTTATGCTTGTGCAGGCAGTTCCAGTGCTCAGTATATCCTTAGAGGTAAATCAATTAGTTCCCAAGTTCAAAAACAAAACAGAACTCCTAAAAACTTGGAGTAAGAAGCAAAACCTACTATCTGTTTACAGAGTAGTCTGTGACTTGAGGGGGGAATCTTTTATGTATTTTTTTACTGGTGTTGAGTTTAGGCTGCTTAATACACAGATAACCCCAAACTTCTAAATTCATTTTATGCAACTGTTAATGTTTGTTGTTGAAAGTAGTTCTGTTTATTCCATATTCCTGAGAGTAGCTGCCTTCAAACTACACACATTCTCTGCACATACCAGACAGTGCATCTTCACTGCAAAACGAGAGGTTGGCTAATTAAAGTTGCATCATCTTCACTACTGTTTTAACTCCTCAGCCTCGGTCCATTGTAAACTTTAATTTGAACTGCAAAGTCAAGCCAAAACCCAATGAAGTTCTTTGTTGTTGAAGTTCATGTTTATAATTTGGATTAGCCAACGTGTTTTTTTGCAGCACGTACTGGGTAGGAGGAGGGTTCTGGAGGAGGAAGGGGCACATTCACAAAACCTAACTTTAGCTTGGAAAGGCTCCTTCCAGGTGGATTTACAGCAGCTAAAGTTAGGCTTCTCTTGAAGGCAAATCAGATGAGGAGCCCAGCTCTCTATTTACTCTAGATGGGAAGATTGGCCTCTGGGCTCGTGTTGGCCTGGTGAATATTCCAGTTAGTGCCCAGCACCGCAAGGTATGGACTCTTCAGCCCCCTGGAGAAGGCACTGGTACTAGGAAACTGGCCCCAACCCTTGCCACCCAACATAGGATTTAGAAATTGGAGATCTGACAGCCGTGGTGTTTACTCCTGATTTAGAACCCACTGTAACACAGCAAAGTGACAGTCTTCATTTCTTTTCCAGGGCAGCATAACACCAACTGACTTCTCCCTCCAAAAATGCTTCCTTCCATATGAGAGCAGAGTCTTTACTATATACTGTGCAGCAGGTGCTCTGTTTGTGATCCTGATACTAGCTCATGTTCAGCTTCTCACTCCACCGTTTTATTTTGCTCAGCGTTTAATCAGTAAGCATAAAGCAGTATGAAGAGCCAGACATCTGCATTCAGTCACTGAAATACCAAAGCTGAGAACAGTCAAACATCAGACTATATTCATGCCAGCAAATGACCTAATTTGATTGCTAGTCTGAAGGCAGGTTGCATTTATACATACCATAGAAGTCCTATACAGCTGATATGACTACTACAGGATAAATAATTAACTGAAATGAACGTTTCATGCTGTACAAAAATACTGTATTCGACAATCAAATGAGTCCTTTTCCTGCTATAATTTTTGTATCAAATATGTATATTAAAAGTGTAACTGTACATTATGTAAATTCTATAGCCTCATCACTTGTCTGCACTAGTGTCTTACCCTGGTGGAGGCTGAATCCTGCAAACTGGAAACGTTTCTCTGTTTTATTGCTGCATGGCCCTTCTAATGTCATGCTTGTGTTCTAGGGTCAGGCAGAAACTAGATGCATCAGCACTGAGAGATGCTGATTTCCATAACCTTTTTAGGGTGTCATTTGTAAGGGGACTGTGGTTTGGGACAAGAGATCTTCTGGTTCTTGACACAGTAAATTGTTAGCTGACTGTAATTTGCAGTTATCGTCTACCAGACAACAAAGGGAAGAAGCTCGTGGATCCAGTTTGCTGATACACACTTAAAACCTGCTTAAAAAAAAATTAGGGTGACACCTCAAGCTGCTATTTTCAAAGAGATGTGCTATGATGAGCTTAAAAAAAGAGGGCCCTATTGCATCCCAGAGATGTGTGGTGAGAGGCCCTCCAGTTTCTGATCTCCTGCAAGAAGGGAGGTCAAATACAGCTGCAGTAACATCATCCTATGCCTTGGCCCTCAGTCTACGGACAGATAGGGATAGGAGTGCATGTTATTTTAGATTCCTGCAGGGTGCCAAGTCCTGTTGACTTTGTTGTAATGTCACATGTTGAACTGCACCAGAGGCTGAGGCCACCAGCTGTGCCACAGGCCCCAGCCTGGGGGTCAGCACGGAGAAGATAAAATCTGAGCTCAGCATCTTCACTCTGTGAGGGAAGGTGGACAAACCTACTGCTGCTCCCCACCTGCCCTGGAAAAAACAGAGGGACTATTTCACACCAGAACTAGTTTTCCTGCTGATGTTCCTGCAGAGGCTGGGAGCTCTAACCTGAACTTCTGTGCTGGGGATAGTTTAAAAAAAAAAGACTATCTTTTGTTATTCGCTCTATTACTTTCTTTGGCATGGGAAAGAAGTGAGAGAATTTTGGGAATTTTGTTTACTATTAGCTTATTCCACCCAGCCTTTCACTTTTTGGGAAATATAACTAAATTGAACATAACACATTTCTGGGAAAAGAAATGGTCATATTATAGTATCTAAAATGGGACTGTTTTATATTTAACTAGAAACAAGTTCTCAACTGGTCTGTAGTCTGAATTTAAAAAGAGGTCTGATTGGGGTTTATAACTAATAATGATACTTACAGTAAAAAGTTAATAAAACCTACTAATTTTTATGCCAGTGTGGGGACTCTGTTAGCTCTTAATCTCTCCCTAAATTTAAAATGGAGTGGGGGGAATGGTCCAAAGTGTGGTAAAACACTCTATAAAGTAATGTAGTCTAACATTTCTCTAGCTTTCTGTTATTGCAACTGTAATTTTAGACATTTGTACAGGTTATCTTGGACACAGGAAAAGTATATAGTCACAGACATAAAACACCTATGTATAAAATATAAAGCAGTGTTATAGTTACTAAAAAGGACATGCCTTATTGCTACAGCAATTCTTGCTTTTTATATATTGTACTGTACCACAACTTGTTTTGAGAATGTCATTTGCATAAATTATTCAAGTTTGAGAAATATTCACACATTTTGATTCTACAATATTTAAAATAAAACAATTTTCTAATGTGTCTCTTTATTAAAAGAGAAATAAAAATGTCATCTTGTAATTCTCTTAGGCCAGACACAAGGGTTTATACACCTTTTTTTTTTCTTATCTTCTTTCTTGATATTTACTTGCACAATGAAAGCTGCTGTTGGTACAAAGATTGAAGAGCTCTATATAATGGTGCTTTACACATTCACAATCGGTCTGTGCAATTGTGAAGTTCTATGAATGACCAAAGAATTACCAAACATATTTTCTAAATATAAAGGACAAAAAAAAAAAAAAAGAAAACGAAATCCTTGGTTCCCATTAAAACAACACCAGGTTGCAATTTGGACACTTGAATGATTTCCAATGTTTTAAAGCTGAGACTTCAAAAGAGAAAGGCATGTTTGCTGCAACATCCGGTGACTGTAATACCTTACTTGGAAAGGTAAGTGGTTAATTTGCATAATTTATAATTTTTATACTAAAGAGCATTTTTATATAAACCAGAAAAAAACCCCTAAACTCTACAGATAAAGTTCTTACCTCCAGTCACTGCTGAAGGTAAGGTTGACATCAAGCTGTACAGCGCAATCAAAAACATACTTACATCTTAGCTCATTTTACAGGTACAGCCATAATCAAGGCACAAAGATCTTCTACAAGTATTTTTCTTCAATAAAGTTGTACAAAATAATATTACATTTTACAGTCTGTACAATATAATAAACCAGCAATAAAACAAAAAAATATATATAGGGAGAGGACTGTTGTCCAAGAATGATCGGAACTAAAAGGATCATTTGTGGACAGCACAAATAACATAAGTGAGGGTGGTAAATTTTCTGCCTAGATGCAACAGGCTGAAAAGTAGCTGTAATTCAAATGCCTGAGGTGTGCAGAGACACTTAGCTCCAAAACCCCAGAAAAATTGCTTTGTCTTCACTGTTCCTCTCATTATCTACTCTACTTCCTGTGCCAGTAACGGCTTAAAAGAGGAGGTCACTTTATCAGTTGACCTGCAACTCAGAAATGCTAAAAACTGTGACAGAGTAATAAATATTGTGGTGCTGCTACATTGTGTGTCTACTTCCTCAACAGTATTTAATAACCTGATACAAAGTGCATTAATCTTTTTTTCACCCATCAAGTACTCTTCAATGTCATGTTCAAAAGGAAACCCACACAGAGGGATAGGTATGACTTTAGTGTCATCCAGCTGACATACCAGTTTGAACTGAGGTTAACCCGCTGGAAAAAATTTAGCAGGTCACATTCAGTTTAAAAAAACAAAACCTAAGGGAACAGAGGTAGCCGAGGGGCTTAGTGGAATGACGAAGAAGTGGCATGTCAAAATAAAGCACAAAAATAGTCCCAAAAAGCATGAAGGAAAAATAACCCAAACTTGCTTCAAATCAGCTTTAAGGTTAAATAATTAAAGTAAACAAAGTGAAGAGACTGACATTTCTATAGTATATTCTTCCACCCTGTGTGGGGTAGTATCAAGAGAAAGAGTAAGGAGCAAAGAATTTAAAACCACAGGTTCCACGGTGATCCCCCTCACAAGAGTTCGTACTGGCGGAGATGCATCCTTTGAATGATGTCTCGACAGTCGTTGAACACTCTGCGGATATTTTCTGTGTCCACTGCACATGTAAAGTGTGGGTAGCAATAATGCCGGCCATCTCCACTCGCTGTACTTATCCTCTGTGGAAAAGGTAAGGCAAAAAAAAAGAGTCAGGTGCTGTGCCATGAGAAGTTTCATGTCTCAGCAGTCTATAGACTTACGGAGAACCAAGGACCCTGGGAAATTCTGTATATAGAGCACTAAAGTAGGTAAATAAGAAGGAAAGGCTGTGATCTGGTCCAATATGAATGACAAATTTGAAATGAAGATTAAAAAAAAATTATGGAGTTATATACTTACAGGGTCAGCATATTAGTACTTTGTGGGAGCCACCGATGCCATCATCAGTTTCACAAGCTATTACCATTTGCACATCGCTGTGCAGCTACATCTGTGCCGCTGACAGCTGTGCAATCTGCCATGCAGCTGTTCCAGGAATTATTTTCTCTTCTTTTCTGGTGCCATCATGTGGCAAATTTTTGAACTCTTGTTTTAAATCAGCAACACAAAACTGAAAAGTTGTTAAGCCAGCAGTGGCAGAGAACAGCATCCTACTGCTTCTGCTTCTTGAAGCTGAAGGCCCCTGAAGTTACCTTCACTGAGCCCAGAACCTGGTGGAATTATTACCCGAGTGGCTGGGTTCCCACAGAGTAATAAAGCATGCACAAATCCAGTAAGCATGAGACCATGCAGAATTACATTTTTTCAAGGCTACTGCACAACTTTTTAGGTTCTAACTTATCCTTCAGCATCACTTCCCCCATGGTTATCTTGTTAAAATTCCCCAGGATCTTAAAAAATATTAAAGAAAAAAAACCTTAATTTTGTTCTGTATTCCTATAGGACTGATAAACATAAATGCATTCGAGATCGTTATCTTGTGGAATATAGATGGAATGTTATGGAAGCAGAATGTCAGTTCTTAGGATAGTAATTTTATAAATATTTTTTAAATTCTATTACAAAATTACACTGGCTAAACAACAAAAGACACTGTTTTATCTTACCCTGGCTACATTATATATTTTTAACAAAGTGATTTATTTTACATGTAGGATTGACCTTTTAAATACATGCAGCTACAGATATGCAATACTATAGACATTTAGAAGTCATGATTTACATAATTAGGTCAACAAGAAATTGCAGACTTTTGCAGGTAACTTAGGTAAGATTAGATATTCAACACTGATTACACAGGGGTATTCCATACACTTTCTATAAATTATTTCCTTTTTACTATGCTACATTCAATACCTAGTTCAAGGCTCACTCTCATGAAAAATACTAATAAATATTTGCCTGTGTTTATCATGCACTGATGTCTATGGCAATCAAATGCCCACAATATTCTGGTGACACCTGGTTACATAAACAGCATGCCAAAGGACATATTTTCAAAATATTAGGAGTTTGTCTATTTTTGTCACCTGACAACTCTGTAGTTCTCTCGTTTTAAGACAAAAGCAATATCTGAACCCCTACGCAAAACTCATTTTGAATAGTAGTGTGTTACTTAGCACCAGTTCAGAGGGTGAAAAAACCCAAACCCTGGGACAGCAATGAAAGAACATTCACCTTCCAAGTGGGAGTATTTAATACCAGTATTTAACACCCCTACACTGCAGGGGTCAGGATGGCAGTTTCCAGCGAGGAGCCATATGCACAATTCGAGGAAGCCTGGTCTATGTATCTGAATAGCAGCTCCTTCACCTCCCAGATTCAGATTTTTTAAAAACCAGCATGAACTAGAGTGGCCATTCCACTGTTTTAACAGGGGTTGCCTACAAACTGGGGATGTATTCAAACAAAACATCAGCAGCTGGAGAGCCCTGTGTACAAAACACCGAAATGGGGCTAAGGAGTAGCTCAACAAGCAGTGCATAAGCCCGTTGCCTCCATGAAGAGTCTGGGAGGAGAAATGATGTGCCTCAGCTAAAGGATGGAGAATTTCCTACAAGATACATTTCCAGGACTTGGAGATGCGCTCGCCAGCCCAGCCCTGAAGTGCATGAGCCCCGAGCTGGGCATGTGCCCAGCCAGCCCTCACATGCTGCTGTCCTGACTGAAATCCAGTGGTGCCCATCTTTGCTGCCCAAACCCCCAGGGGCCACGTGCCCCCACACCAACCCTGAAATCAGGAGCTGACATATTTTGCCTTTCCAATACTCAGACAGTACCATGTAGCACCAGCTACTGGAAATGTGGTCAGTGTCAACCCCCTTCTAAAATTAGCCAAATTACATGCTTTAAATTTGCCAGTACCATTGACTACAGCCAGGCAGAGTTTTAGGGGGTGCAGCACCATGGTGGTTCTTTTCACACATATCCATAGCTTATGCAGACCTGCTACCATGCCAAAAAATCACAATAAAGCATAATAAACCCAGATTTCTTCGAATCATCAGAACCCTCCCCAGTCTGTACCAAGCTTATTTTCTCTGTTCCTTTTGTACCTCCCTCTGAGACCTCAGTCTTTCTTGCCTGACCCCATGGAACTGGAAGTCACCATTTCTACTTGGCTTTCTCCCCTACTCACTCTCTCCCGTTACTTGGGGCACACACAGCCTGCTCTGCAGGAGGGGTTGATAGCATGACTTTCAGTTCAAACAGTCCAAGAGCATAAAGCAACTGTTTGGATGACTACATCCCTCTGTTCCATCCTGCTGAGAAACCAAGCCCAAACCCAGGAGAGAGACACGTTATGGAGGAGATGCTCTCTGCCAAGCCTGTGGCAGTTGCAGGCAAATGGGGGAAAAGCTGTTTCAGCCCCACACCTGAGCCCCAGGGACTGCCTGGCAGGTGCTGGCCCCAGCCCAAATGCATCCCCCACCCCCAGCACCCGTGGTGGTTTTTTATGTGATTGCAATGCCTACATCGCCTCCCCTATCCACTTCATAGGTGGCCTCCTTCTGTAATGCCAGTGAGTCATGGTAGGTAAGGACCTCGCCCTTGATATGTCTTTTTAAATAATGAAAATAGATAAAAAATAGATAAAGGTGGGGAGTTTCACCCTAGTTTCTCCATAATTGAGATCTCTTAGAGCCACCCTGCTTCCAAACTGGATACTGTCACCTGCTTCACAGTATTTCAGCATTACCACAAGAGAGATTTGGCCTGAAGTGAGGTTTTTTTGGTAATTCTTACATTAACAGTGCAATCTGACATTTTTCCTCAGAATCCAGAAAGCTAAGGCAGTGAATGGAAATCCCCAAAGCGTGAACACAGTTAATTGCTTCTTTCTTTCTTGGTGTGTCAACAGCGGTAAATCCTAACAATACTTGTAAATACATAATGACTTTAAAATGCTTAATTCTAATGAATCAATTTGTTATTTCAAACACACACATATAGTTTCTTCCAGCAGGGCACGATGGATGAGCCTTGGTTTTGGTCTCTGTTACTGCTCT